TATTAATCTTATTTCTAATATAATTGTTCATTCATAAATTACTAAATCTACAAATTAATTGCTTACTATAAGTTATATAACTAAACTGTTAACATAATAGAAAAGTTTTAATTCTGATTTAACATAATATAATTTCAAATTAAGAAAAACTAAAAGAAAACAAGAAAAAACAAAAAGTTAGTAGAAGAATAGATTGAAAAAAAGATCTAAAAAAAAGATTAGTACTTATTTATGAATAAACTATCTAGCCAAATCTAATATACCTATATTAACTTAACTATTATAGGTTATATAAAAGTTGGATAGTTTAGTAATAAACTTACTATATTCCAAATTACAATATATAATTATTTATTTTAAAACAATTAACTTTTAAGTTAAAATTTTAATTATATGTTTATACAATTATATATTAGTTAATATATTATATTTATAAGCTCAATTTGCTTGAACTCTTATATTAACTAATATTATATTTTTATCCTAAATTATTACTAATTTCTATAATATAAATATATCTTATTTGTATTATAATAATAATAAACATAACTTTAGTACTGCTAAATAACAGTTTTTATATATTTTGCATACCAATTTTGTACAAATTAACAGTCAAATTTATACAAATTAACAGTTAAATTTATATATAACACTTTAATTAAATCTAATATCTTATAATCTAGTAATTTAAATTATATAAATTAGATTTCTGAGTTAATAACGCAGTGGTTAGTGCTCCAAAGATCACAATTGCAAGGTTGCTGGTTCAAGTTCAACTGGAAAATAAAAGTTGTGCCAAGATCACAATTGGAAATAATCTTTAAGAAGAGCTTTTCACTTTTGAATGGATTACTACAATAATAAATAGGTTATATGACATAGTCACAAAGGTCATGCAACATTCAAAAAAGAGAAAATCTGACAAGAAATGTCATTAATATAAGGTTTCTCAGCTTAAAGTAATATAAAGAAATGAATAATAGAAGAACAATTCAGCTGGTATGTTATGTAAAGTTAGAGAACTACAGACTGAATAAAGATAGTAGGTTCTATACTATGAAACCAGAGACCTAAGATATTATATGATGGACTTAACAAAGCATGAACTATCTCATGAGTACAGTAATGAATATAGGGGCCATCTGCCATCCAATAATCTTTGCAGAATGATAACTCTGGCCTTTAAGAGATGTGACAGATTCTAAAGGTGTCTAAGAACCTTCAGAATAGTGAAAAGAGGTAAAATCAAAAAAAAAATTTATATAAATTTGGTATCATTTGATTTATTAAAATTAGATGAATTAAATACTACCAAATTTATATAATTTAAATTATTAGATTATAAGATATTGCAATTTAATTAAAAGTGTTATATATGAATTTAACTATCAATTTGTATGAATTTAACTTTCAATTTGTATAAATTTGACTATTAGTTTATATAAAATTGACTATCAGTTTGTATGAATTTGACTGTTACTTTGTACAAAGTTGGTATGCAAAATCTGTATAATCTACAAATATACAATCAACTATATTAATACTTTTCTTACATTAATACAAAATATTATTTTTATTTTTTAAAAATATAATTACTGACTGCTTAAACTTTAGTGCAAACTATAATTATACACAAAATATTAAAATTAAATATGCTTATATTAAGAATAATAAATATTTTTTATTGCAAAACATTTTATTTATTTATTAAAATATAACAATACAAACTATATATTCAATTTTATGCTCTTAATAATGACAATTTCTATCTTACTTAAAACAAAAAATTAATAGAAAACAAAACTTATTACTTTATTTGATACTTACAAAATGCAACAAATATTACAAAATAACATTTTTTAACAGGACTAATTATTAAAATAATATTTATAAAGATACTAACTAGAATCTAATATAGCAATTCACTATTTACAACAAAAAACCTAATATATATACTACTTAACCCAATTATTCACAATTAAAAAATATTAAAATTAAATTTTTTACTAAATAAACTATCTATACTCTTAAATCAATCTTATAGACTTATACTAACCTTATTTATAATTATAGTGCATTATATATAAAAAAAAACTCACACTGGTTAGAATATGCTACAAACTTTATATATCTTAACTAATTAATTTTACTAACTATATATAAGTTTTTTACTACACAATTTTAAATTAAATAATGCCTTCTTTCTAATGCAGCAATTTATTCAAAAACAGAACACTACACACAACTTTTTTAGACTACAAGACTTAATTTCAAAAATATACTACAACTTGTAACATTATTCTAAGTATACTTAACAGCTTATTTCACAAAATATTATACATATATACAAATAAATATAGATAGAAAGATATAAAGCTGTACAGTAAAACAGTTTACTAACAAATGTAATTACAATTACAACTTCTAAATATTCAATTACAGATCAAATAGTTACAATTAAATATAAAAATAAATAACCATATTTCTTATTACAAACATATCTATATTTTATATTGTAATACTAAATCTAGTAGAAGATCTAATAGTTTACTCTAGAAGAGTTTTGAACTGAGAATAAACTAATCCTAACTATAGGTCCCTCTAATAATTCATGTAAACTATTTTAACTAATGTAATACAAAATTGTTCAATAAAGACTGAGATCAAGTCTCACTCTTTTTTTTAAAAAAAAAAAAAAAATATAAATCCAATTTTGTAAATAAATTAAATGTTACGAGTCCTAAAAAAATGCACAAAGTGCAATTATTTATATTTTAGATCATACACGGTATTTCAGATGGGAAAGGGCATATGGGAGGTTAAGAGATGGGTATAATTAAAAATTAAAAAATCTTGAAAAAATTAAAAAAATTTATTGTAAATAGTCTTATTAGACATTAAATATAATGTGACATTTATAAGAGGCGGAAGTGAGTATTATAAATAAAGTCCGAAATGGCCCTTAAAAGAATTATGTCTCGTTTTACTTCACTAAACAATAAGTCTCAATATTAATAATCGTCCATAATAATACGCTATCACTTTTACCATTGTAAACCCTATAAACGCCATAAAGATCGTTATTCGTTTAATTTCTTGTTCACGTGACTTACCTACCCGACTTCGCTAGCCCAAGTAACAAAAGCCTTAATCGCCCACCAGCAAAATCTAACACCTCTCTTTCGTAAGGCTACCTATCGTTGGTTACGCGAGATTCTGACCGAGACACAATTTTTCCCGACGTTCACAATGTATAAAAGTGAATATTAGTGTTAGGGCTTTAATGTTAGCGACTATAAATAATGATTAATACTTAATAAAATTCTATTTCCAACATTTTTAATTTTCGGTCGCTTTTTTTTCTTTGCACGTGCTCGGATTCTCAGAATCAAAATTTGCACTCTCTGATTGGCTGGAAATTTCCTTTTTAAGAGTTTGTATTACTCGCTAAAATAAGTGCATCCCACCACTATCCTTACATCCTGTCTAATGGTTGCCGTCCAAACTATTCGGGACGGCATAAACGATGTGATGATTAGCATCACAAATGGTCAAAACTAGGTTAAGACTAGGTTAAACCATATGTGATGCTAAATATCCCATAGTTTGGGCCATCCCAAATAGTTTGGACGGCAACTATTGTCCTGTCCCAGTTTACTTTGATCTAGAATTCCATATATATTTATATCAATAAATAATAAATACGTATATAATTAAATAATTAAATAATTAAATAAAACCTAATTTTAGATTAATATTATATCTATAACTCCATTAGAATATATCAAGTATCTTGTTCATTAATAAATAAAATTATTCAACCTGATAACAATCAATTATAATTGGAATGCATAACGATAAGAATCAATTAATCGTTTATGGTATTGATAATAGACTCAGGCCATTAGATTTTGATTGTCCCACACAGTATGTCATATGAATTTAATCTTTCATTTTTAACTAATAAGTCCATTTCTGTTTTTGAGTCAGTTCTGATATTTATTCATAGTAAACGATAAATTAGCTACAATTAAAGGAGAAAATTATTTATGTATGCATCAAGATGATAGCGATAGAATATCAATACGAAAAAAAGATGTATGACCCCAAAGGTGTAGAAATGAGTGTGAAAATACCACTTACCAAAAAGTATTTCCTAAATGGGAAACAAAAGGCTGATGATCCAACACAGATTTATATGTACATTGATTCAGATATGCGTGATATTTCAGGAATTTAAGACATGTTTGTTATTTCTATGTTGTGCATAATATAAATTGAAATAATAAAATGAACAAATACATTAATATAGATGTTAAAAATCTGACTCAGCTTATTGTAAGTCACAGACTATATAATAAATTTAATCAGATAATCAAATTTAAAAAGAAAATTAGTATTTATTACGATATGCAATATCATATCTTTTTTTTTTTTGCAGTACTCCTTTTTATAAGTACAGTACTACAAAATATTGTAAAAAGAAACGTTATTTTAAAACTTTTGTAAGAGGTTAGGATAATTTTAGAGTATTGAATAGAATGTGGAACCGGTTTTATTTTCATGGGACTAATCGGGTATTTTTACCCATGAAAATATAGCAAGTTACAAATTATAACCGAACATTATATTAATGCATTACTTAAACTTTATGACATAGCAATTATCAGAGTTGGAGGGATTCCTTTGCACGCGAATGAAGACAAAGAGGAATGTATACGTGCAGTTTAAAAGGAATACTTTCCAAAAGAAGTAAACGATTATCGTAACTTATCTTTTTATTTTTTTTAATACTGATAGAATTGTATAACCGAATGAAATTCGGCTGAGGATAAATAAAATATTTTAATAGATTGAATAGGCTGAATAGGCTGAATAGACTGAATAGACCGAATATAAACAACTTTTACATTTCAACCTGATGACATGTGGTACTTTACTTATATGCATATGTTGTTATAAAAAGATGAATGGAATTTATTATGGCATCATAAGAAATAATGGATGAGAATGCACGAAAAAAATACTGTGGCCTCTTAATGTTTGATGTTCCGACACCTTCATTTTCTAAGTCAAATAGGAAGTCGGCTTCCCAGCTGACTATTGATTCTACGTCATCTTTGGAAAATAGTGACATTCGTACACAAGATAGATTTATCTTTACATCATTCTTGGAGCCAATGAAGGTTAATCCGCAGCCTTCTAAGAATACACCAACAAAAAATAAACAAGTTATAAAAGAACCTTTGCACCAAAAAGGAAGAAATCATCGACCTCTAAATTCGTTTCTTTTATATAAACAAAAAAAACAACAAGTAACTTACAATGATGTTTCAAATGCAGAGATAGCAAGAATTCCATCAAATCTCTTGCAAAAAGAGCCAGAAGAGCTCGGACTTCATTGGCAAAATGTAACATATAAAAAACAAAAGGATTATATGCTAACCTATCCGGAATACCGGTATTACCCTAAGTTAAAAAATTTTTCCGATCAGACAGTGGAGGCCACAGATTTGAATGAATTTCAAAATATGTTCCCCGGAACACAAACTAACGACAATATGTACACACTCTCTTCTGAATATATGTCAATTCCTTGGGTTTATGATCACCTTGAAACACCTAATTACACAACATTGCCATCAATTTTTCCAAAAGATGATGATAGATATTACATCAACACACAACCGCCAATCCAAACAACTACATCAATTCCCTACCCTTACCAGGATAATATATATCCTAACTAAGTTTCTAATTTTTCTGTTCATATAATCTTTATGCCATCTTTTCTTTGTGTCTTTTATGCTACAAATATACACATATTTACATAGCAAAATATGTTCATAATTAAGTCGACACTATTACATTAAGTATACAGTATGAGGTTTGCAAACCATCATTCACTTTATGCAATATCTATAGACGTATTACGACATTTTTCGATAAGAAAAATCCGACTATCGATTTTTACTCTTCCGTTTCGTTTTTTCAATCGCTTATATAGAATATAATCGTAAATTCCGGTTCACAATATAAAGTAATTAATTTTCAATAAGATTACTTTTTCTCGATTTGCAAATTGCTAGTACTAGTGTATATCAACTACGACGATAGTGTATAGACAATATATAATATAATGTAATTGTCATTTGCAATTTTTGCAATTTTATGAACCTTTGAATTAACCACATGAATAATAAAAATGTTTTTAAGCAATAATTCTAGATTTTGAATTTATCGTTCTGAAAAACATTAATAAAACAATATAATTGCTTATGCTTGTCCAATTGATAAAGTTGTTGAATGTGAATTATCCAATCATTAAAAGCCAGGCAGTTTTTAAATTGATTACTTATTATAATCGATTTTTATCGATTTTTTAATTAAAAACCATATATCTATCATTTTCCCGACAACCATTTTCTGATAGACCGGAATTAGCATCGGGTAAAATCGCCACCCAAAAAAGGTTCGAACATCACGTGACAAATACCCGAGCACCAAAAGGCAACCACAAAAAAATTAAACAAAATAAAAACGATAAGAAATAAAATAATTATTTTATTTGTTTCGAATAAACTCAGGAATATCTCATCGCTTTTTAAGATGATTATAATCCTCCAATTTATGCAATGGCTCAAAGTTTTGTTAATACTATTGAGCCATTCAATAATTTTTGTCATTGCGTCCTAATTGAGAATTATATAAAATTTTTGCTCAAATAAATAATCAGAGTAATAATCTTTCGAAAGAGCATTAAAAATACAATCTATACGGTTTCTAGTGCAAATGCATTTTCTTGATTAGTTTTTATAACTTTATTTCAATTTTCGTTTTTTTTTCATTTATTATTAATGAAAATTTGGTTAAGCAATCAATGTATATTTTAAGATAGTGTGTTATTGAATTTTATACTTTTATATCATTTTTAATTAGAGTTCCTATCCATTATCCGTTTATCCATTTATCTATCGGATATTCAAACCTGAATTTATTCGGATACTGTACCCGTTTTACTATTGATATTCGGATAAATTCAGATACGGATAAATAGATGCCGAATTTATCCGAATTGGACCTCTATTTTTAATTTTGAAAAAATCAGTTATTATAAAGTTTAAGAGAATGATTTTTATATCCTCCCAATTTACTATTCATACTTTTACTGATTTACCTTTTTTAAAACTTTGAGTGAAGATATCTCAGTAACTATCAGGTCAAATTTAGTAAACTTTTTTTTTTTAATGTTATAGATTCATAGAATTTAAATAAAAAAGGTTCACTGAATTTGACTTAGTAGCTGCTGAGATATCCTTGCTCAAAGTTTAAAAAAAATTTTGCGTAGTTTGTTTTGATAGATGGTTTTATTTTTTCAAACTTTGAACGAATATAATAACTACTGGACCAAATCAAATGAACTTTTTTTCTTTAAATTATATAGATTTATGGAATTTAAATAAAAAGGTTTACTAGATTTGACCTGGTAGTTACTGAGTTATTTTCGCTCAAAGTTTGAAAAAGGTTAAATCTGCAGGGGTATAAAAAACAAAATAAATATTATCATCATGATCCTCTGATGAATTATGTTTTCGAAACTTTGTCAGGAAAATTGTAGGATCCCATAAAATACTATGTACAAGGTTCCAATCATGGTAAATTACTATGGTTGGGATCATGACGTAATGTGTAATTACAAAATAGGCAGCTTACGTAGAATAGCCAAAAACCGGGTATTTACTTCTTATAGTAATCTGCCCACAAACATCTCTTATCATGCATATCACAAACCTTATCATTAAATTACTTATAAGTGAGAGTTGGTCCAGAAAAATGTTAATCTATTATTATTTTTATAACGATAATAGTATTTGATAATCAGTCGGATAATCCTTTAGTTCCCAAATTGACATTTTCTTGGATCATCATTCAAGTTGCATAACAAGTTAATCCTCTTTGAACTACATGCAAAATAGTGATGGCAAAAGTACCAAAAGCCCAGTGTTAGAATTGAGGTGATTAATTCAAAAATCGGTATTTTTGGCGTTACCACATGTAAAAAGAAAGAGAGTATATTGTATGGCGATAATAAAAGTGGTACGATACGAAATGCAGTACTTGGACGTACATATGGAAATCATGATAGTACATATATACAATCTGTAGAAGGAAAAATCTTTCAAACAAAACTTATCCTAACATGCCCTAACCTTAGCCATCAAATTAGTTATAAAATTGAATTTCATAGTTTATGTTCGTGCAGTACAGCAGTATTACTTTATTGAATACAAAAGTTCATTTCTGAATGAAGTTTTTATCGACCAACTTTATATCATTACATTGTAACGGTAATAGAAGTTCAGAAGGGAATCCGAACAAGAAAAATATATTATATGGTCCATTGAAAATTCTTTTATACAGTTACAATATTCCTTCCGAGTCGTCATACAATGAAGCGGCATAATGCATAAAAAAAAAACTTGGCTTACTTTAAATCTCAGATTTTATATTCGGACAATCCCTTTAAAACTGTGATTGCCGCTTTTATAAATGCAGGGTTTCTCAAAAAAAATTTGGTTGTTTACAAAAGTTTCTGTTTTTAATAAAATCTTGTTTTTACCTGTGATAAATTAAAAATAAAACCATACATCTGAACGCCTATAAATTTTACAGTAAGATTGACATTACGTACATATTTACATCGGAAATTACTTAAAACATTGATACCGCTGCATTTTCTTTCTGAAATAGCGATAGGCTAAAGCCAGGTACATCTGTTTCTGGTTTCTGGCAACCAATAAAAATTGCCTTTTTGTTAAAACCGACGAAGTTGTGATTGTCATCGATTTGGCATTAGTCGATAAATTTGATTTATCCGACTAAGTCGGTCGATTTTTTGAAAATTGACCTAACAATTCTTAATTATGAATATAAGAGGTGTCGGAAAATTTTAAGAAATAGACTTTATAATTATGAATCGATGGAAATTTTCGGTACATTATTTCAGATAATATTAAATCCAGTAGCTACTTCGATATTTAATGATTTTGTCGTTTTTAGTAATAAGGTAGCTGCGCGACGCAGTCACGCTAGAAACCAGGAACGAAAGCAAATATAGTAGTTAACAAATAGTCCAAGTACGTACAAACGAGAACTGATCTAGCATATCATTAATGTATTGTGAAACATTTAATATACAGTATAGGCAATTGACTCGCATTAGCTAATCAAACAAAAGTTTTACAAGGCATTATATAATAAATTAGTTTTCAGGTTATCAGGTTATCCAAAAAATTATTTTGTTATTGCTTTTGATTATTGATTATCATTTAACAGTCCAATAAAGATCCTATGAAAAAAATGAAAAATGTTAATATTAGGTAAATAGACAAATTAAGCTGTATTGGGTTACCAATTTTTGAGTCAAAAATTCTTGTTTTTACTATCATTAGTTATCGCAACTACAACATCGCATATGTATATCAGTTGATCTGCATGTGTGATGAATTCATGTGTGAAAAATAACCAAAATTTGATGAATAAATCATGCGGACCAATCAAATGTAAGATTTCATGAACAAATCCCACTTAAAACATCATATAATCCATACACTCATTCATCATTCTTGGTACATTATTATATTCATTCCTGGTATATTTAATATAGCAATTAATGAATCAATTCAAGGATAGAAGTATTTATGGTTTAACACAAAACATCACAACAAATGAATATATATTGGTATTTGACGAATTTGGTTCTAAAAAAAAAATAAAGATAATAGAACATATGCAAATTTCAAGCAATATAACACATCTTATGTTTAATGTCAAACATGTGATCTTCAGAAGGCAATACAAGGATGGACAAGTGGAAATAAGAATATCAATAATTGCATTAAAAAATTTAACTTAAAGCTATGAAATATGAAGATGTTATTGCACGAGTCTTATGTGACAACCCGTGCTTTTTTCATTTATTTATTGGCACAGGATTGTTACGTCAAACACTGTGCAATAAGATAATTATTGTATGGGTATGAAAACAATCCAGTTACATACATGGGTTTATATTTAAATTCTGTGCCTTCAGCACGGAATATGAACCTGTGTGTAACTGAATTATTCACTACATACCTATATAATAGCTATAATTAATCAAATGGATTTCTTTAAATAGTTTAGTTAATGTTCAAAAGAATGATGCTGGATTTTTAGTAATGTAATTAGATGGAATACATTATGTAAATTATGAATATATTAATAATAAATATAAATATATACAATTATGTTCACCATTATGTAAAATAGAAATTATAATATTGACACAAATATGAAATAATTTAAAAATAAGTTTTATATTTGATATAAATCAAATAACAAATTAGACATATAAATTATTTAATCTGTATACTTAATTTGTATCAATATGCTATTATAAATAAATTTAATATAGCAATTAATAAGTTAATTAAGTCAATTAAAAAATATAAATATTTATAAATCAACTTAAAATACAGACACAAATAGGTATATTTTGGTATTTGATAAATTTAGTTATAAAAAAGATTATAAATATAGAATATATACAAATTGTACACAATATAACACATCTTACACTTGATGCAATTATCAGAAAACAATACAAAGATGGACAAGTAAGAATAAGAATATTTGATGCATGTATTAAGAAATTTTAACTTAAAATTACATCTTATTATAATGTAATTGAATAGATTTTTTTAATAAT